CCCCCCACCCACAGTTTGTCTCCATATATACAGTGTTACAAAATAAGAAAAAATTTACTTCTTTCTTTCCTCCCCCTCCCTCTCTGAGTGGGGAGCTTCCGGACCTGTCGCTGCTAGGTTCTGACAGGTGACCCTTTCCAATCTGGCCTCTCTTTCCTGCCTTCAGATTATCCAGTACATCGGGGAGATCTGCAGGTATCTGCTAAAGCAACCGGTTCGGGAGGCAGAAATGCAGCACCGCGTGCGGCTGGCGATAGGCAACGGCTTGAGGCCCACCATCTGGGAGGACTTCACCCAGCGCTTCCGCATCAAACAGATCGGGGAGTTCTACGGAGCTACGGAATGCAACTGCAGCATCGCCAACCTGGACAACAAGGTGCGCAAAGGGGTTGCTGTTCCGGCAGGTTTGTGTGTCGGGAGGCCGAGGACAGCAAGCGAATACGTTGGCCGAGCAAATCCTAACGAGTACAGAGGTTGGGCCGAGCTTCCGGCTAACCTGTCGTGCGCGCTGCTCACCGAGCCCACCTTTTGTGTCTCGTCAACCATCTACAAGAAACCCTGCCGTTTTCAACACTGGGCTGGGAGGGGGGAGCACGAAAGACGCTGAAAGACCGACGTCTCGGTTACCGGGGAGGCAAAAGTGGCCTGAATTGCCAAAACAGTCACTCACCTCTGGGGAAATCTGCACCTCTCTTCACCAAGAGGGTCCCTGCTTGTCGTGAGAGCAGACTGGGGCCAGAAAGGACCATCCCCACTTACCTGCTCGACTTACTCACTGTCCAGGGTTATCCGCCTCCTTCTGTCCATCCCGAGTGGTAGGTGTCTGTCTGCACTTGCTTGCCTTTGACGGACTGCAGCCGGAGAGCTGATTCTCTGTCTGGGCAGACAGTTCGGCTGGTTGGAAAACCATGTGTGGAGCGATTTGGATACCGCCATGGCAGACCATTTGTGGTAGCTTCTTTTTGTTTGAAAAAGTTTCCTCTCTCTCTCTTTCTTGGCAGGTTGGCGCCTGTGGCTTCAATAGCCGGATCTTGCCCAACGTGTACCCTATCCGCTTGGTGAAAGTAAATGAGGACACCATGGAGCTGATACGGGATTCGAATGGGCTCTGCATCTCCTGCCGTCCAGGTAATTTTACTACAGTTGCCATGCAGTTACTACATTAATGATAACGATATTGAAGGGAGGGGAAGATACAGACCCAACGAGTGCAAAGGCATCCCTCTACCTGCATGCAACAAATCTGTGTATTTGGGGCACCTGTATACCTGTTAGCCTATGTCAGGAGTCCCCAACATGTTGACTGTGGGCACCATACTGCCCACCAACACATTTTATGGTGCCTGCCAAGTGTTTCTAGGAAGTGGGTGGGGCCAGGTAGGGCTTTTGCCCAGCAGGGCTTCTGATTGGCCACTGGAGACTTGATGTGGCAGCCATTTTGTTGCTGGGGGCTCGAAATGGTTAGGGAGACCTGACCTATGTATACCAAGGTCCATATTCAGATAAACACCAGGAAAAACTAGGAGGGGGAAAGCCTCCTAAACAAATGGCGTTTTAATTTTACAGGGGGGTGGGAAGAGACCGAATTAATCTAGGCCAAGTGGTAAAGCAGACGTTAATTACTGAAAGGGAAATGCAGTGTGGTAAATGCAACACCACCTTTCCTAGAAAACCGCCTATCTTCAAGGGGAACAGACCTCTCAAAGACGAGGAGACACGCAAGCCTGACCCCAGCGAGAAGGGGTGGGGGGTGTCTGTAGCCACGGCAACGCAGCATCAGCAGCTGAATTGAAAAGCAGGGAAAGAAGAGGCAGAGGCAGGTCCGTGGAGCAGAGATTTGGGATCAGAGAGATGAGGAGCCGACCGTGAGGCTGGGTAACAGGGTGATTCCACATCGGCTACAAAAATCAGGGCTGAGGGGTAACTTTTTATGCTTTTTTTTTGCCAGAGATGAGGAAGGAAAAGGGTATTGGCATCAGAATGTGGGGATAA